AAAAAAAAAAAAAAAAAGAAAAAAGCTTGTTGACATCTTGGGCACATGTCTGTATATGACTTGATGACCTACGAGAGCCTGAAACATTCTAACCAGCCTTTTAAGACCCCAAGTCATCTTCTATATGACAGAGACTACCACACTGACTTGCCCTAAATTCCTTCCTCTCTGTGCATGACACCTGCCTCCTGTTTTACAGAAGCCATCGAGGCATCTGCCATGAAGTCCCTCAGATTTTCCTCTCTACCTCAAAATGTCTCTGTATCGGCATTCATCCTTTTACCTGTTCCTCCTTAAAACTGTCACCTTATCATTCACTCCTTTCCATACCCCCTTCTTTTCACTTGACCTTGTCTCAACTTGCTTCCTCCAACGAGTTACCCCATCACTTATCTCCCTCCTAACTCTCTCCTAGTCTGCAACAGCAAATGCATCCTTTAAAAACCTTCCCATGGACATGCTACTCCTTGAGACACAATCCTTTGTCTGCACCATCGAATTTTCTAAAAGTGTGTTCTCATGTGCAGCCTTCACTGTCTCAGCACCTGGTTACTCTGTTTCTCTCTGTCTGGCTCTTTATCTAGAGCTTTTCTTTCAGCACTCACTGATGACCTCCTTACTGCGCCACCATTTCTTTGTCCTGCCACTCCTCAACTTTTTGCAACATCAGATACTGCTGATCCTTCGTTCCCTGCACTCTTTCTTCCCCAGGCTTCTGTGACGGTACACTTTTCCAGGCAGTCCTCTAACTTCTCTTTCCTCTTTCCCTCTCCACCCTATAAATGAAAGACGTTCCCCCTAGTGCTGACTGTCACTTTTTCTTTCTATATACGTATACTTTCTCCTTGGCAATAGCATGACTTCGCTTCTCTTCTCCCAAGCCCAATACCTACACCTAGCTGTCCCATGGGCACCTCAAGTTCAGAGTGCCCAAAGATGCACTCTTCCTTTTACCTCCCAAACCTGGCTCCCCTCCAGGATTTCTACTGCTCTCATGAACCTCACAAATCAGACTCATCATCCTGGAAACATCTTTGACTTCTCCTTTTTATATCCCCTTCCTTATATCCCTGGTGGCACAGTGGTTAAGAGCTTGGCTGCTAACCAAAAGTCAATAGTTTGTATCTACCAGGTGCTCCTTGGAAACTCTGTGGAGCAGTTCTACTCTGTCCTATAGGGTCGCTATTAGTCAGAATCGACTCGACGGCAATGGGTTTGTTTTTTGGGTTTTCCTTATATCCAAGTCAAATGGATGGGGCACCGTGACTCAGAAACACAAGCATCCTCTTCCCGTAACCACCAACTCCGTGGATCAGGTGTCTCCTCATTGGTTGTTCTCACATGGCTGAGGGTACCAGCCTCCTAACTGGTCTTTCTGCCTCCGTTCACTCACTGCTTTACAATCCACTTTACAAGACAAATGCTTTCAAGGGTTTTAACCACCTAAAGAACAAAGCCCAAACTCCTTAGCCTTTAATTCAAGGCTCTTTGCAAGCCTAGCCCAATCTGATTTCCTGTGAATCTCTTTTATACACCTTACGTTGAAAGAAAAAGAAATGCTTTTCCCCACAAATTCCCTCAAATCATCCTCCCTGCCTTTGCTCATGTTCTCCGTCCTCCTGCACCTGAAATCTACATAAGGTCCTTCCCCAAGGCCACCTCTTCCCAAAGCCTCACTCATGGAGGGAAATCATCTCTCCATCTTCCCAACAACCACAGCACTCTATATGTATCCATCTTACAACACATTCAACTTTCTAACTTGTTTTATAGTTAATTATGCACGTGGCATATTCTCACACCAGTCTACAACCTCTTACCCCTACCCCATGAAGCATGCTTAGCCTCTGATACATCTCTGGATTTTAGCACAGTGCCTGGCACACTGTCGGCACTCAAATACTGGATGGCTGAATAAATGAAGGATTAAGTGGAAGAGAAATACAAGAGCCACCAGAGTCAGGGTCTACAAGACCAGGCCCTGCGAGGAACCAGCCCTAGGAGACTCTTTAGGAGCTAAAGCACATACAGTCTATGGCACAGCTGTAAGGCATTCTCGACTGTGGGAAACACATACTGCTGGCAATACAATGTTTCAACGTCTGTCTAACTTCAGCATTTTTTTTTTTTAAGGGAGCAATATGAAATAGAACAGTAGTTCTCAAACCTGAGAGTGCATCGGTATCATGTGGAAGGCTTGTTAAAACACAGATTGCTGAGTTATCCCGGCAGAATTTCTGTTCGTTAGGTTCCCAAGTGATAACCGTGCTGCTAGTCTAGGAAGCACTTTGAGAACCACTGGTTCAGAAGGCCCACTGACCTAACCATCAGGAAAGCTGGCTGCCATTCTGGCAATGCAATTAAATAAGCTGTATAACCTTGGGCAAGTAATATAACCTCTCTGAGACCCTTCCAACCTTAAAATTTTATGATTTTCAGTCGCTCAGAAGTCAGTTATTTGGAATTATGGCATTTCCACCTAATGTGGTGCTATATAACTGTTTCAAAATGAGGTGGAAATAGTTTATGTGCTAACATGGAAGGACTTCCAAAACAGATTACATGAAAATGCAAGAAGATGATGATGATGGCAGCTAACATTTACTGAGCATGTACTATGTGCCAAACTGTCCTGAAATCACTAGATACGTGTTAACTCTTAATGCTGACGTGAGGAAGCTGAGTCAGAGAGAGGTTAAATACATGCCCAAGGAGAAACAACTAAACCTAACACAAAGCACCTAAATATAAAGGAAATACAGTGTGATCCTGGGATTTTCAAAGGGTATTTTATGCATGGATAGATGGGTATCACCATAAACACAGATAAAACAACACATTAATAACACACATGGAAGGAGATACAGGAAACCTTTAACAGTGGCTGCCTCTGCTAAGCAGGATGGAGAGTCTAGGCAAAACAGACACTTTGGTTTTCACTTGAAATCCTTTAGTGGTGCCTGATTATTATTTTTTTTTTTTACAGTGTACACGTTTTACCTGTCTTTGTTTTTCCTTTTTAAATAAATTATTCCTTTGGAACTCGTGCCTTCTTTGGGTTTCTTCTTCCTCTATTTGCCCTCTGGGCATTTGTCGTTCACCTAACACCCGTAGGTAAGAGAAAGCCCAAGGGAAACAAGGATGGCAACCCGTCCACTGCGATCGATCGCACAGCTTTGCTAAAGGATTGCCAGGCAGGGAAGCACGAAAAATGGCTCCCCTGGATTTAAAAAAACTGATAATTTGTGGCTCATGACACATACCACTTCTAAAACTTGCTGAATGTTTTAATCAGGTCAAAAAAAAAAAAAAAACTTTATAGAAAAGCTTACCTTTTAATTTCAAACTATTTTCCAGTGTTATAAAATTTTCATAGAAGATGAAATAAATCTGAGAATAGTTGGTCTCAAAAAACTGCTTAAGATCACTTGCATCCACATTATCTGAAAGAGAAAGTTTCCATTTATGACAATGCACAGTTATCAGAATTCACAAACAACCTTTTCAAAATGAAGGGAAGTAACAGTTAGCTTTTATCCCCTTATAAAAAACAAAACAAAAAAAAACCCACTGCCGTCAAGTTGATACCGATTCATAGCGACCCTATGGGACAGAGTAGAACTGCAGAACTGCCCTATAGAGCTTCCAAGGAGCAGCTGGTGGATTCGAACAGCAACCTTTTGGTTAGCAGTCAAGCTCTAACCACTGTGCAACCAGGGCTCCTTAGCCCCTTATAAGACAAAACAAAACAGTATTTCCACCAGTTTATACCTCAACAAGGAGCCCTGGTGGCACTCCCCTACTAACCAAAAGGTTGGCAGTTCAAACTCACCCAGAGGCTCCTAGGGAGAAAGACCTGGTGATCTGCTCTTGTAAAGGTTACAGACTAGAAAACTCTATGGGCAGTTCTACTCTGTCCAATGGGGTCACTATGAGTCTAAATCAACTCAGTGGCCCCTAACAACAAGGATACTACAACACCTATGAGAGTTCTGAACTCTGAGGTAACTCAATTCATGAACATGCTCTGGGGCATTCCCCCAGCCCAGGACCTGGGCGGGAGACTGGGAGGCTGACTGTGGCAAGATTCCGATCCAAGGAGATGAGAGCCGATGCTGCACACCACATAAAGACCAGTTAGAAGGTGAGAGGGAGGTAAGAGTCTGGAGAGGAACCAGATGACTTCATGGCAGAAGGTGGGAAGTGGGAAATCATGAGGAGGCAGCTTTTGACACAGGCCCTGAAGACAGTTAGGTCTGTATATCTGAAACACAACTTTGCCGGCTGGAGGGCCTAGATGGACCAATCTCTCCTACCTCCTACCTCTCAACGGGAAGAAAGAGGCCAGCACAAGGCAACTACCAAAAGCTCTCACTGCATCCATGGCCTGTCCCTGCTCCTCTTTGGACACAGTGGCAGCCCGTCATGGATTCCTAGAGTTGCAATGAGCACTGTTTCTCCCTGTTGTAGCAGACAGTTTTGCTAAAACCAGGGACTGTGGGTAGACAGGCGAGTCACGCAGGGAATTTAGGCTAGCGACAAGTCCTGCTGGGGCTGAGCAGCAGGCACAACCACTTCCTCCAGGTACACCTCACAACCCTGGTCAGAGCAGTCATCCACTGTCAACATACCTTTCTTCATCTTCCCCAGCAGACAAGGCTGTGTGTGCATTTACAGGGTCCTGACCAAGGGTTTAGTGCTTTGAAAGAAAACACTAGTAACCTTAGGAAAATTTAAAGGTTTCCTTAAAACTCGACAAGGATTACTCAAGAAAAAAATGTTGCTATTCAATCTGTAACAGAGTGGTGTCAATTACTTTTGGAGTCCTAATACTATGAATACATGTGAATACCCATTACTATGTTCAAATTCTATGAAGTTAACAATAATCTTGGTATATCTAAAGAGTTGTTTACCTTTGGTAACTATACAAGGGCCATTCATGCAAAAATCTTCTCTGGTCTTTGAAATAATGCACGTAAAGGTGTTTAAAAAAATCCTATGAGCTGCCAATCTCACATTCTGTTTACTGCATCAGAGAAAACTGAGCACCACCAAAATCAAACTCAATAACATCGAGTCGATTCTGACTCATAGCGACCCTATAGGACAGAGTAGAACCGCACCATAGGTTTTTCAAGGCTGTAAATCTTTACAGAAGCAAACTGCCACATCTTTCTCCCTTGGAGCAGCTAGTGGGTTCAAACCACAGACCTTTTGGTTAGCAGACAAGTGCTTTAACCACTGCACCACCAGGGCTCCTAAACTGAGCACAGAGCATTGGAAATTCCTAGTAACTAATTCATTTACCTGTGTGAAAGCAAGTAATAATGAAACTAGTATTATCAACGCACATGAATATTATTACTCTTATTAGCCGCACAATCTTGCCAAGGAATCCTGGGGTGCCTTCTACAGAATTTACTAGCTCTGAGGAAGGGTTCTGTTCACTTCAATTCAAACTGCTAGCACATCTACCACTAGCACTGTTCCCTCTGCCTGAAGCACACCTCACCAAGCAGATTCCTACTCGCCCCTCAGTGATCAGGTGAAACACCCGACCCCACCCCAAGACTAGGTCAGTGCCTCGGCTGTATGTTCCCCACCACCCTCTTCTCCCCTATCACAGAGCATGTCACACTTGACTTAACCCTCCATTCAACAATCTGTCTTCTTCGGTCTATCTCATTCATCATTACATCCCATGCACCTACCACAATATTTACTTCAATGTAATTTGTTTGAATGAATTGAATAAAAGAAACAGCCTACAACATACAATGACATGATAATGACTAACCATTAGATTATATATCGACAGGGGCTATTAAGAGAGGAATTCCATCTCTGCCGATAACTCCCAATTTCTACCTGAATCCTTGCCGTCTCCCCTGAGCTCTCCACTCTTACAGCCTGTGGCCAACCGGACTATTCCAAATGGCTGTCTAAAAGGTCTTGCAAATTAAACATCTCAAAAAGGAAGTTACTGTTCTCTCCATCAAGTTCTGTTCTTCCCTCAGACTTTTCTACCGTAATAAATGGCACTACAATTCACCTCTGCTCAAGCCAAAATCCAGAGTCATTCTGGTTTCTTTTCACGCCTCCACTGCCCATTTCCAGTGCATTCCTCTGTCCTGTCAATTCTATCTCCAACATGGGTCCCAACCCTGAGCCACTTCTCATGCCTCAAAGCCCCTGCCTGGTCTACATCACTATCTATCCTCATCTGCTGCCTGGGCTGCCTGCCTCCACTCTTCCTCTCTGCAGTCCATTCTCCACAATGCAGCCAACCTGAAAGTTTAATCATGTAAATCAAATCAGATCATTCCCCGACTAAAAACCTTCCAACAGCCTCCAGCTATACTTAAAATTCAACTGCTTTGCCATGGCCTGTGTGATCGCTAAAGTTGTGACAACTTGGATGGGCCATGATTCTCAGTGGTTTGGCAGTTATGATGTAGTTTGGCAATTGTATAATGGTGTAATCACCTCCATGATGAGATATGATGTAACGTGATCACCTCCATGATGGGATCTGCTGTGAGCAGCCAATTAGATGAAAAGGAGTTTCCTTGGGGGGTGGCCTGCATCCAATTAAGTGGAATTTTTGGCAAGGCTCAGGGGCTTTTGCTCATACTGGATCCTGCAGCTGGCTCCTGTTCGTCTGACCTGCAGTTCTTGGGACTTGAGCTAGCAGCTTACCTGCCGTCTTGCCTGCTGATCCTGGGACGCATCGATCTTCGAAGCCTGTGAGCCAGAACCCTGCTGTCTGACTTGCCAATCTTGGGTTTGCCAGTCCCTTTGGCAAATCAGGAGAAGCCTCCAGCCTGACCCACATTCTAGCCTCTAAAACCGTTTGAGCCATCTCCTTAACATAAACCTCTCTCTATATATATTTATACGCTTTACTGGTTTTGCTTCTCTAGAGAACCCAGCCTAAGACAGCCTGCAAGGCCCTACCTGATTCCCCCATTCAACACCACCTTTATTTCACACCACTCTCTCCTTCATGCCCTACACTCTGCGGCTTCTTTCCATTTCCCAAACTTGCCACACCTGTTCCCCACTTGGGGCTCCTCGGGTATGATTTCCCCACCCCCAGATCTTCATATAGCTGGTTCTTTCTCACCCTTCAGATCCAAATCATACATTGGGTCTTCAAAGAAATCTAAAAGTGCCCCCATGTGTCACTCTTCACATTTCATCACATCACCATGCCTTTTTCCATTGTAAGCTCTGCAAAGGATGGACGACTGACGCCCACCAGTGAACTGACCTCAGACACAGAATGCCACAGCATGCAAACAACTGTCCTTGCAGCAAGGATGTATAGGCGCTGATACTGCAAGATGGCACAGAAAGGTTAGTGGGGGATCAACAACTCCACCATCTTCCCCAGGGCCTCCCCTGGTCCCTCAGAAACAATCAAATATCAGCAACCTGAACAAAGAGCGTCCTCGTCTAGTCTGTTGTAAAACCAAAAGTCCAGGTAACACTACCTTCTTCCTTAGCCATCCCACAGCATCTTTCTTGTGAATGAGGCATGGATGATGCTAAGCTTAAAGTACTCAAGTAATAAGACAATTAGACACATTCAAGGTAACCTGACATACAATGAAACTAAGAGCATAAGATCTGTAACATACTCAGTGTATTCACGTGTGTAGAGAACTCCTGTGGTCTGGGAGTCCTCTTCACATGATTTCCCCCTTCAGCACTGAAGAACAGTGGAAATCGTCTCATTTATTCATTTACTTCTTCAGTAGTTGGCACCCCCCCTAGTATGCAAGCTTTACAAGGGTAGAAATCTCATCTGTTTTTTTTACTGCTGCATCCCCAGCCCCAGTCTAGTACACAAAAGGCGTTCAACACGTATTTGTTACATGAATAAACAAGAAATAAATATCAAATATTTTATGTCTCTAACTCAAAATCCAAGATGATTCTTGGTTTGTCTTATTTAAAAAAAAAAAAAAAAGACTCATCAGATGAAATTTATAAAGTAAACATAGATGGTGGGGAAGGCAATCACAAGACACTGAAATTTAGCATTCTGCAAAAAGGAACACAGGAAAGCATGATTTTTAGCAAGGCTAACTTGAAGACCCAGAAATACAGTGGGAAGGTTTTGCTCAGGAAAACAGACTGACCATAAACTTTCTTTAGACAGACATTCTTCCCCCATTCAAACACTTATTGAACCCCTACCCATACCAACAAGCACTGTGCTAAGAAATTCAAAGAGAATAAGACACAGGATCCTCAAGGGTACACAGGTAAATAAGAAACAGAAAGGGCACCATGACCAAAGCTTACACAGGGCATCAAAGAAGGAGTAGGCAACACCATGGGGAGGTTGGGAATATTAATAATGTCATATATTTATGTTGTGCTTTACGCTTTAAAAGACACTTTCATGAATTTGTTTTATTTGACCTTCACC